TCCATGTAATTTTAACGAACTTGTTAGATATCCAAATTGTGTTCACTTTCAAATATTCAAATATTTGTAATAAGTATGTGCTAGATGCATAATTTTGTTAAACATGTACGATTATATTAACTAATTAACAAATTGTATGCAATTGAATTATTTCAATTGTAATATTAACTTCATTGCATATTATGTATTCTTTTATTTCGTTGATTATTACAATGTTTATTTAACAATTTCAAAATTATTATAATATTAAAGTACAAACTATATGAGAAGTTATCGGTACAGAGGTGTTTTAATAAATATATATTTTCATATATGTCAATCATATAAAATTATCAATAACAATAAATGATTTTTAATAAATAATTGCATAGACAAACGAATCTATCATATGTAATTGATCATTTTACAATACATTATTTTCAACACATTTATATATTTACGAAAATTAGTATTTGTGATTTTTGTACTTTTATTTTGTTTTAAAACATGTAATTAACAATTTTGTTAAATATTCATTGTCATATAACTTGTATGAGTGAAGCAAATATTTTTAATGGCTTTTCTATTCTTTATATGAAAATAATCCTTACTACATATGTACATATTCTTTTTCATTCATTGTATTAAATTGAAACCTTTTTTTTATACTTATTTCATCTGAAGCAACAATATCAAAACTTTAAAACTTTATAGTAATGATTTGAAGTCTTTGTTTTGTCAAAATATGATTTTATTCATGAATTTTTATTCCACTAGAAGTAAAAATTCAGTTAAAATAAAATACTTTATGATGTAAAAAGATGTTTAATAATAATGTTAAATTGTAAAAACATGTTAGAACAAAGATTTTCTACATATTAACTTACTCAGGTTACTACAGACAAATCATTATATACTATATACTAGATATCAGAATAAATAATGAATAGTAATAAACTATTGTATTAATATAAACAATTAAAGCATAACATAGAACTATGTCAATATAAGCGTATAAATCGTATATTTGAAAACTAAAGAATAAATGGCAATAATTAATCTTATTAATAGTATCAATTAAGATTTCAGTACTTTCATATTCATTTTAGTGTACTATGTTAAATTATTTTAAACCCAAACAAGCCTTGTGCAAGTTACTTTATTGTTTCTAATCTACTGCTATATGTTTACATTTTAGTACTATATTGTGAACTTAATTTGATCATTATATTACATAATGCAAAAATATAATTTTAATTTATATTTTATGTATGACTTTATAATTTTATAGATGTACATAAAATATAATTTAAAGAGAAGGATCAATTTTCTTTGCAAATATTACATTTTTTCACTATATAAATGCATGAAACAAAATAATATATTTCTTTACCATATTTTCATAACTTTGAATTATTAAAACAAATTTATTATGTAGTGGCCATTTATGAAAATATGGGAATAATAATAACATAATCGATAATAGAACACAGGAAAGCCATCTGAAAATGTTTTATTATGATTACATGTGGCAAGCGAGGCTTTTGTTTCCAATTCCTCAAATTTAAAATTCATCTTCATAACATTTTTACGTACATACATACATACTGTCAGTACAATAAAAAGTGCTCTTTTTAGTATTTTGCACTTCATTTACTACTAGAAATTATTGTTACAAGAAATATCACCTCGACATCTTTGAGAAGATCGGTCAGCATCCTTCGGCAAATTTTGCTTCCTAGAGAACCTATGCTATTCAAATACAACATATTGAAGAATATCTGGCTTGAATGCTACAGAGTGTTTTAAAAATTAGTGATAAGAGAATAACAAATCATTTACATTAGAGAGCAATTACATTTATTGTTTCAACAATAAACTAATGCATGTTATAGTTTCCATAAAAAATTAACAAAACATTTTGGTTATTAAAACATCTTTCGTTCGTTATTGAAATATTTGATAATCCTTCAAGATGAAATCACTAAGTTACCCACTGTAAATGAACTTCATAATATATTTTGTCATACTTTGTATTAGGTATCAATGGTTCTGTACAGCTCATGCCAGATTCTTCAATTTTATATATTTTTATACCATTGATAAAGATAAATAATATATGATAGAACAATATGGATACAATGTACAGCTGAATTAAATAGTTATACTACATAATTGAATCTCACTAAACGTTACTAATGTTAATTGTGCAGTTTTCCTTAGTTGTGTTCATGGGTAACTGAATTTTATTGTTGTCTCCAAGGGGCTAAGTTCCAAAAAAACATTGACAAACATGTATCACACTAAATCTTGTGACGTTTTTGATATGTTTTATGTTTCTAAATATCATAAAAGTCCTTTGTAGGCATGTAATGACAACTTGATCGACAGTAACAGTTGTAACAGTTATAGAAGTAGCACTAACGATGATACTATGAGCAATAATAACAGCAAGTAGTAGTGCAGCAATAGCAGTGGAGGTAGTTATAATAGCATTAATAATGATAATAATAGTTGTAATAGTATAGTAAAAGTTGTAGTTTAGTAATGATTCGAAGATTGATAGTAATCAGTGAAATAGCATTAGTAATGATGACTGCAGTATAATTGCAATGATAATTTATTTGGTAAACATTTAAACACAATTATCAGAAGAAACAAACTGTATATCTAATTTTGTTAAGTGATAAAAATTGATTATAACAAGTTGTATAAAAAACGTAAATACAATAAACTTTAAATAACCTGTAAAAATAGTTAAAAAATTACTTTTATGATACAATATAACAGATACATAATATCTAAAAGTTCATATTTTCATCTATGTAGAAGTAAAAGCATTTTCTACATTCATATTAATATATGAGATTCTTTTGTACGTGCAGGAGTATACAAATTAAAAAGCACAATATATAAAACAATGTCAAAAAGAACACATTTTTATATACAATAAGAATATGAATATGGCACAAAGAGTATTTATGAAGAAAACCATGAGATTATCATTAACTTAATACAGAATAAATACTTTAAAGAGATGCAATCTATATCTATCATAAGAAGATAGTGTTCTTAGTTTATTTTTTAAAGATTTCTTTTTACTATGTATGTTTTTTTTGGAACCTTTCCCTTTGTATTAATCTACACCGTCCATTTGTATACTTCGCTTATATCATAAATACAAAACTCCCATGAAGAATTCTTATACAAACATGCAGACTTAAGTTTGCAACGTGTTTGTAATTTCTCGATGTACAGTTACCAAATCTTGTATATATCCAGCTAATCTGGAATTCAATGTATCCAAATTTTGTTTCTGGACCTTATTTGCGCTTAATGCAAGTTCTAATTGTTCATGGACAACTCTTAACATTTCACGAAGTTCCGCATTTTCTTTTTGCAAAGTCTAAATTTCAATAATTATTAATAATAATATATACATACTAAAAAATCTTTATTTTTTGCAGCCATAGAAAAAGCCTTGATTTCTTCATTTCGTGTTCTAAGTTCATTTTCTAATGCTTCAACTCTCAACCTTAATGCTTCACTGTTGCCTTCTGCTATTTTTCCAGCTTCTAAATCTGCGTATTTGGCTTTAATTCTTGCATTTTCTTCTTTGTACAGTTGTAACTGTCTTTTCCATTCATCAACATTAGCTGTAGATTCTTGTAGTGCACTTGTTAATCTAGCATTATTTGTTTTCAATGTAGTTAATTCGACCTGCAGTGAAATTTAAGTTTCGAAAATTAATATAAAACAAAGAATATATTTGTCTATAATAAATTATACATAAATATGCAATAACTAACGATATAGAGTAATTATTTGTACATGCATGTGCATGTAAATGTATTAAACCATACCTCCCATTTCTTTGCGTTTGCAGAGCTCTGTGCCAATGCAAGTTTCAGCCTGTCATTCTCATATTTAAGCTGCATTTCAGCTGATTGTCCACTTTGCGAAGAACTAAGTTGGGTCGATTTTCCTTGATGTTGTGGACTTTCTGTATTCTGCTGAGAAATACTCTGTGATCTTGAATGGACTGCATTTTTCAATTCATCATCCACTTTATTCTGACAACTACCAGGTAAGGGGCTGCTGCTTACCAAAGACACACTGTTTTGAGTAGAAATCATGTTGGCATTTGGATTTGGATTATTTGATGCTGATACATTGGAGTTAATCATTGATGAATTTGGTGGGTCTATAAGATCTTGTTCTGATGATGGCATACCCGATCTTGATGTAATCGGGCTAACATTTGCACTAGTAGCAGGAGTAACAGATGAGCTGTTTGATTGTAATTTAGCACTAGCTAATTTAGTGGCCTCCTTCACTTCATGAAATTTGTCTATAAACTGCCAAATGAATAGTATCGTCTCTGAGATTGTGGTGTACACATGACTGTACGTTAACTAAAGACATATTTCACAAACCTTTCCTAATTCTGCTTCAGATGAAAAGCCAAGACCATATACAGTATTAGCTCTAACATCTGACCATTGCCCAAATTTTTGCGATGTTTTTGTGAAGGTCATGTTTGGAGTAATAGTACTATTTATTACTGCCTAAAACAAAAATAAAAAATGTAGGTAATTTTTAAGTACAATATAAATGTATTTTTCATAACAATTTAGTTTTCAATCACCTTTGTTCCTTCAACAGAAATTATTCTGTAGAGACTCCTTGTTGAGTCATAAAAAAATGAAACAGAGACTGCTGCTGTGGATGCTGATACCCAAGACCTTTTTGTCTTAGGATCAATGTGAAACACGTGTGCTTTGCACGTGAAAATTGGTTGTTCACTGCAATTTATTAAAAGCAAAAGACTTAGACACTTAAATATATCAATTCAAATTATATTGTACATGCAGCATCTATATATCTGTCATACTCAAAATATAAATTATAGGAGTTTTAATAATAACGAATGTTTTGAAGTTCATCTTTTGTAGAGCTTTATTAGATGTACATTCTACAGAAACATAACAAAATTAAGTACATCAAAAAATTTCAAATATACATATTTCTTTACATGCCTTAAAATTAATGGAATAAAAATTTAATAATGTTACAAGTTAACATTATAGTATAATGGCTGTATTGTACAAATTTTGAGGGAAATCAAATGAAAGAAATATATGAACAAGCAATTTTTTGTTATAATTTTTGTAAACAACATCTATATTTTTATTTCAATTTCCATAATTTCTCATACATGCAATGTATGTACAATTTATATACATTATTTAAAATAAGATATTTTTAATAAGTTATAAACTTTTTACTCTATGAGAAAAATAACTACAAAGAAAATAATCAATATTTAACGAAGTATTTATCAGTCTATTAAAATGTAAAGTCACTTATAAAGCTGATACAAAAGAAATGCCATATTACATGAAAAATTTCGTCATAATATATCAGAAATAAAAATGTTATATTTAAATATTTTTTATTAATATATAATTGTGCTAAAAAAAACTACTGAACAGATATCAATGCGATAAATATCTTTACAATTCACGGAATAAATTTTCACAATATGAATCTAAAAATATATCAAATGATGCACGAGTAAACAACTAGAATAAACACATTTCACGCGGTGCCGACTTATCCCACTTTCGCTATTCTATTTCATGGTTATATATAGGTAAAAGAAAAGAAAAACATTCTGGTCCAGAGTCTCCTTATGTACGCACCCACCTAAATGCGTATCTGCGATGATGTCGGAAATATGATAGTAAATAGACAGGAAAAGATAGTACTGTTCATTAGCCAACGCAATGAAACTGACCTATTTTATATCAATTGAAGGTATTCGATAATAGAAGAATTAAGGATCATTTATCGTACTCGTATGCGATGTAGAAATTGTACTTTGTGTGTACATATATTACACACCCTTAAAAGGCGGTGCGGAATACCACCACGTTCACTTACCCCATTGTTTCTTTGCCTGATGTCATACAAGTAAATGCTAATTTCACAGATTCATAGAAAAATGAATTTAACGCGAATGCGTGATGACTATTTGCGAATAAAAAGTCTCAAAATTATCTGAAAATTTATAAAAATCTGTTCGGCAAGACACAGAGTTACACCAATTGACAGCCGCCATCGGCCAAAACTGTACAGCGAACAGCACGATCACGCAACAACATGAAACTAGTCGAGTTTCCACCATATACCTGGATTTAATCGATTTTCCACAAAAGGTTGCTGCTTATTGCCAACCCCGTAGCTTTCTTTCGAAAAAATCACTAGATGCAGTTGCATCATAAGGCGCATACTTATGTTTCGATTATGTACTTTGTATTGCTGTTTAGAATGTTGGTAATGTAGTTAGCGATGCTTGAATACGTGGTATCTTTCATTGTATATCGAATCATCTTGTTGGTTTTAAATCTTTCACCAATGGCGAGTAATGAATAGAAGAACAACGTAGCAAAGTAACACCGTAAGCTCTATCCTTGTCTCGTATCTTGTTTTACCTGAATACAATGAAAGTGCGCAACGTTCAGTGGGTGGGGGCATTGTGTGAGAAAGAGAGGAGAAAGGAGGGAGAGAAATCGTCCGTCTTGTGAGCCGTCATGGCTGAATCATTGCGAGGGACTCTTGCACTAGTACGATAACAAATGATATTGTGATTGAATTTACGAGGCGTGAAAAGTACAGTGGATGGAATTACTTTTTAATCAAAGCTCCAATTTCAATGTGGAGATTTCACGAAGAAACGTGACAAACGTTTTTGCGTGTGCGTAACTCCCCCGTGGAACGATGAACGGGTTAAGTTTTAGTGAATTCTGTTGCTTGTTTTGCTGTCCACCTTGCCCGTCCAGAATCGCTGCAAAACTAGCGTTTCTACCTCCTGAACCTACATATACGTTTATCGAGGGTGAAGGCTCCAAATTTACAATTTCTCTGTCCGACAGAGCGGAGTGGCAATACACAGAAAGAGAGAAAGAATCGGTGGAAGTTTTTTATGCAAGAACATCACGAGGAAATCGAATAGCCTGTTTGTTTGTACGGTGTTCAGATAATGCACGTTTCACAATTTTATTTTCTCATGGCAATGCGGTTGATCTTGGACAGATGTCTAGTTTTTACTTGGGACTTGGCTCGAGGATAAATTGTAACATATTCAGTTATGATTATTCCGGTTATGGAGTGTCTGGTGGCAAACCGTCAGAAAAGAATCTTTATGCAGATATTGATGCTGCGTGGCACGCTCTTAGAACGCGTTACGGCATTAGCCCGGAAAACATCATTCTGTATGGTCAAAGTATCGGGACTGTACCCACGGTCGATTTGGCCGCGCGATACGAAGTTGGTGCAGTTGTTCTGCATTCACCTTTGATGTCGGGAATGCGTGTTGCTTTCCCTAATACCAAAAGAACGTGGTTTTTCGACGCCTTCCCTAGGTATGTTTTATTCATCTTAATATCTCTATCTTTCTTTGTTGCGTTAAATGAAATACGATCCATAATCTGCTTATCGCACGCTTTCATTCGCACAGCTAAGTTTATGCGCATGACACTATCATCCAGTTCAGGTGTACATTCATACACGTGGTACAAATATATGTTTTATACATACGCACAAACGTTTAATTCTATATTTACAATTTAAAGTATGTTTACAACCAGTTAAACATTACGATATAACCAGTTGACGGAAAAAATATTTAGAGTCATACGTGCATATGTGTTTTTCTTTGTTCAGGTGACGCTTTTTTTCCGAATTAAAGTATGGGAAGCAATAAAAGTTTATCTACATACTTGCGTCATGGAAACCTATAAATTACACGATCCGTTGCCGTATACTTCGCTAATAGGTTTTACGCTCCTGCTGTCACTTATCCGCGGTTCACATATCGTCCTTTATTTTCATTTAATTAAATCAAACGAAATAATAACTATCATCTTTTAACATTTTCTTAAATGTTGTATACGTTAAACAATAAAACTACGATAATATTTCTGTTTGTACTTTGTTATTTCGTTATTACTATATTTAGCGGTATTTCATTTATTTCATTTCTTCTTGTTTATGTTTTAAATGTCAATACTTTGTATCAATTTTTATTAAATTTATACATTTATGGAATGTATACGCAATATTTAACATGTATAATGTGAGAGCATTACAGTAGTGTCTGGATATATGTATTGCCACAAATTTGTCTGTTTATATGACTGCGCGAGTCATTCCCACCAGTTCTTAGAACTGCAGGGTTCCACGCGTTATCTACGATATGATTCAACTGGTATTGAATTACCGAAATAAGAAAAACATAAGATTTTAATATTTTTTATTTTATTATTACGAGATGGCCTTAGTCGGAATATCGAGATTCGTACGATTAAAATGATACCAAACATGACTATATTTGTATTTAACTTTTGTATTAATTTTAAGGTAAACGAGTAGTACAGTAGTGTCCGGGTAGATGGCCAAAAAGTAATTGAGAAAGTGGAAGATTTAATAATAATAACAACAATAAAAAATAAGAAGAATAAGAATAAAATAAAGCAAATAAAATTAGGAATACAAAGTGAGAAAAAGAAATGAAAAAACAATATAGGCAAAAGAAAATTAGCAAAATAGAACGAATGTTTTATAATTTGGCAATCTAATTGCCCAGAATATAACATAATTTCTAATGTATCGATACCACTTTCATTTTTATTTTAGAAATAACGTAGGAAAAGTACACAACTGTATTTTGTGTAAAGTTTAAACAATAATTTTTTAAATACTTTATTTCGATAATACTCAAGCTTGGTCGCTAATTGATCAAATTTTTTAATGGAATTTAAACTAAGGAAATAATTATTAGGAGTAAGAAATGACCTGACTCACGGTATCGTTGCAATCTACCTATTCTGTCTCACTCGCACTGCCTACTTTTCACTCTTACCCTTGGTGTACGCACGACAGAGTGAGTCGGAGTCAGATAACGTCGGTGAATTCTCAAAATTCATATATGGCCATATATCCGAACACTACCACTGTATATGTGAAATGTAACGAGTCAATAAAGTTTTCTTCTTTTACAGTATAGATAAAATACCCAAAGTGCAATCTCCTGTTTTGGTCATTCATGGAACTGAAGATGAAGTAATAAACTTCAATCATGGTTTAGCAATTTATGAAAGGTGTCCAATAGCAGTAGAACCATTATGGCTTGAGGTATATATTATATCATATCGAGTATATATTATATTGATAAGAGAAAAGCAAGAATTTTATAAACAATATAACTCATGCTTTCAGGGTGCTGGTCACAATGATATTGAGTTGTACACACAATATTTGGAACGTTTGATGAAATTTGTGAATGTAGAACTGGTGCAGTGATGGCAAGCAAGCCTCTCCTCTCAGGATCAGGGGGGGCAGGGAGGAGGGCAGGCACATATAAACAGTGAAGATCAGACAACTTCTGACAACAGTTCAAATACTATCAGCTCCACTTCAAAAAGCACACAGACTGAAAAGCTTGTACAGCAATTGCCTCCTACAGAGGAGAAGGCACCTGTTCTACAAACGGAAGTAGCTACAAATGTTCAAAATACAAAACACAATAAACCGATATTGGAGAGTACTTCTGTTTGTCGCAACTTTAGATTAAACCATATTAGTCAAGTTGCAAAGAAACACATTTCTTCACCGAAACATTTTAAACATCCATCTAATAAAAGTCCAAAGATTCTTGTTCATGTGACTTTAAAAAATTTATTTGGCCAAGACTGTCGACAATATGCGATTGGAGAAAAGTCACTCTCGTCATTTTTCAATACTTCTAGTGATAATAATAAGGATATTCCAGACTGTAATAAAAGTATTCACAGTCAGCTCAAGTCAGAGAAGAAATCTCCTATAAACCAGTTCAAATATAGTAGTATATAATCTGTGCTGGAATCAGATTGTGCTAAGAACAATAAGAAACAGTGCTGCAATAAAATTTCAACTAAAGAAACAACTGTAAAATGTAAAAGGTCTGAAGAATGTGAAACTCAGGCCAGTGAAAAATCCACGGAATCTACAAAAAAATTTTCCGTGGTATAATAATTGTACCAAATTGACAAGTAAAAGTATTGAAAAGACATTGTAAAGATTAAGGGAGAAAACGATTCTACGATAAAAGAAAACTACGTAAATTCTTTGCAGTCTCTTAAGAGAATTTGGTCGGTCATCTTTGCCAAACGAGGCGGGCAAAGCTATGATAAATTTACCAAAGTGTTCTCCTTGTGCTTGTAGACTGGTTGCAAGCACAATTTTATCCAATGATCCTAGAGTACCTTTTCGATTTACTGCAAATCACGAGAGTCCTCATCACGCTGTATGCTCGAGAAGTCCGCCGCATGTATACATACAAGCGGGTATTAGTTGGAAGTCTTCAGAAACATCAACACAAACCAATTTCTTTTTAAATATTCAACAGTTGAAAAAAATTACGGTATACATCTCGAAGCAGAAGCGTTTGTGAGTTGTGCAACATCGTCAACAAGTGAATTAACTCTGAGTTATTCGCCTATTAGATCGGAAATGTTTTTGGCAAAAGTTGGACCTCGAACATCATCAGCTGAACGCTCAGGAAATGATATTCAGAAGTTAAGGGAGAAAAAAAGCCACATACTGAATTCTCCGATAAGATAAAATAAGCAACTTTAGAGACCAAGTGTTACCAACTAAATAACACGAATTCCATGTGTCTCGCAAGTTGTCGTTCCATTATTCTTCCACATAACTGTCTTTAAAGAAATCATAGATTTATACGCACGACACTTATTCGGGCTGTAACAGTGCTAGTGAGACTGTGCACATAAACACACATACAACACATACATAAAATTTATTATATTTCTAGAGATATGAGATAATATATCTGTGCATACTAAATATTCTTACTATACATGCACACACAATCGGTGCATGAGTGTGTATGTTATAAGCCGTTTCTGCAGTGTGGGCTGTGGAACGTTGTTACGACAAATACGTCGAGTATTATTATTATTTTTATTATCATCCTCCTTAAGATTACGGAGTCGAAAGGTTTACATTGAAATATTTTCGGTCACCACGAGTGCTTACAATCGATATGTAGCAAGTGCGTGGCACGGAATCTCTTCGCTGAACCTACAATTCTTAATTTGTATTTGAATATAAATTTGTATTATTATTATTGGTCGACTAAGAAATCGAACAGTTTTATAAACACTCCTGTTGTTGTTCAGTTTTATCATTTCATTATTGCATTTAAATTTATTTTTCCAAAAACGAAAAACGAGAAAAAAAGAGAACAAGTAGCTATTAATGAATTTGTTAATGAATGTGAGGTGTATGTTTTGCATTGCGTGTTTTCTATGACTCAATTTTAGAAACTAGGTTCAGCGGTGAAGCAAATGTTAACGTGAAATCGCATGTTTTTATAAACAAATCGCTGTCACTGAGACCAGTGTATATGATAGCTGTATTGATAACGAAAACGTTTGTTTTTTATATTGACCCACAGCAAAGGCCTGTGCAGCGAGCAATGGAAATCTTCCAAGATAGAAGAGCAAAGAATTTAGGATAAAGACAAAAAATGTTAATGGATAGCATTAAGGAGATGTCTAAGTGTGAGAAGTCGTAGAACACGCTTCGTTTTACAGACAGTGAATGCGATAATGGTCTTGTAAACAACAATAAGAATGAAACTAGAGAGGGACAATATTACTGCCAAACTTGATTATGAATTAGTTTATTTCTAAAGAGGTGTATCGTTTGGAGAACCTTGTCTATAGGTATGTTTCTTGTTAGTATTTTTATATCTCGATAATGTAAATACAGTACAATTAAATGATTTTTCTTTTATTAGTATATGTATAATGTATGCGATAACGTGAAAACGACTGTGCGGAGCCAATGGAAGCTAGTATATGTATGGCACTAGTATGTATATATATACATACATACATTCTGTAAAAATGTTTTTTTTTTAATTTGCTATTATCTTGAACACTTCTACCCGTCCTCTTTGTCATTTAAACAATTGCTATAAACTACAATTATAAGCCAAAATTATACACGCGCGCAATTGTGGTTGTACGAACGAATAGAAAGTGAATATAGAATTTGCTTATATTCAGCGTAGAAAGAAAAAGAAGTGTGATTGCTTTTTGGAGCATAATTGTGCATTTTTTGTTACTTTACGTATAATTTTTGTATTTTAAATTATTGTTACCCGTCTCGTTATCTTTTATATATATATATCATTTTTGTTACTTTTTTATATTGTTTTGAACTTTTCGTTCCTTTTATGTCAATCTTTATATTCACTTTCTAGCATTGATCTTTATATTCCATTGCGCATATAATCCCGTACCGATATAGGGAGTCCGATATTTCTCTTCCATTGGCTTTCACGTAGCCGCTATTAAATCGATCTGTACCGATCGCAATTCTAATATCTATTTCGTAACTCGTGAAAGAAAACAAAAGATAAAAAAAAATTTATACCGTTGTTTGGAAAATGTCCAGTTTTATAGACGACAGATTTTCGAACGGGCGATTTTATCGAGAAACTTAACAAAGGCAGCCGCGCGGTGTTACACCGAAACGATCGGTGCTCGACGAAAAAAAGAAAAAAGAAGAAAAAGAAATACAATTTGGTCGTTCGTAAAACTGGGTAAAAATAACTTTTGTACAGCATATTTCGAACGCTTACACGTGTCGTCCCCTCTTTCTTCTACTTTCTTTCTCATTCCCCGTCGTGTGTTTCTCTCTTTCTCTCTTTCTCACGCTCGTTTCTTTGCCTACTTGTTTTTTTTTTTTTTTTTTTCTTTCTTTACTACCCTACTCTATCTCTCAATGCGCGTAAAAGCAATCGACCGGTTATCGAACAGCACTTTTCGTCTTTCATGATTGCATCGTGCCGATAGAATGGTACTCAATTGTGCTCTATTTGGGTATCACGCGAATCACGGTGCGGTATTCATAACTGTACATAATAGCGTGTAAGTGAAGTATTAGAAAATAATGTACTCAATGTTCTGTTCGGTCGTATCTAATGTACTTACGGGAGAAGGTGGGTTTTTAAAAGAGATTGGGAGAGGAGGGTGGAGAATGTAAACGATGATAGAAATTATACCAGATATCCCCCGATCCGCGATCGTTAGTGTCCTGCGTACCCCACGCTCGTTGTGACTGTAGCGGGGAAAAAAAAAAATGAATTAGTTGATTAATCGTTTGTTAAGTAAAAGAGAAAACAAAATAACGTGTGTAGCTCTCGTTGCAAAATTGTATTAGCCACGAAGAAAGAGAAGAAAGAGAAGAAAGATGAGTATCGTTTATCATGATGCGAAATAACGAAATTATTATTGTTTCTTTCATTTAGCCGCGTAACGAAGATTGCAAACCAGAGGCGAAGTAACGTTATTTCTTATATGATCGTATAGGAGCGCATAGTTCGAAGAGAAAAAAAAAATGAAGAGAAAAATGAAAAAAGAACAATACACCACTGGCCACACCCGTAATTTAGGGTTGTTTTAGAGTTTTTATACTTCCGTCGCACTTGACTTGAACGTACTGCATTGCCATGTACTTTATCGATCGTTGCAACGTTAGAACAATTGTATAATTATTATGTAAATCGATATACATTTAAGAGCGCCCACATCGATGCAATGCAGCTTATTTTACCGGCGAACATCGCTATACTCTATTGTAAACGATATCATTTAAGTGGTGCTTTCGATTTTTGGTAGATATATATATATATATATGTATACGTGTACTTTTACTTTATATCCTAGATTCAACATCATTCTTCTTCGACGTTCGCTCTTAAAACGTTACCATTCTCGTTTCGATCTTGTCCTCTCATAATCACTTTACACACGGTCACAGATTTACATAACTATTGCCACGTGCTGATTTTTGGTCGCGGCATCGATCTTGTCACGCGTACATTCTCATTCGGAAAAACTGTACACTCGGTCCAAACGATCTTTATTCTGTCGCGGTAGGCGATACCCAAACTTTGTTATGCGAATGGGTTTACCTTGTCTCTTGACCAACTATGTACGCTCTTAGGACATCAAGATGCTTTTTTTTTCGATATTATGATTTTCTGGGTTCTCTTTCTGAGATCTGACATGGTTTTTCGACTGTTCTGCTCTTTTGATCATACTTACGTTGCTTGAAAATTTGAGGAGCATTTAAATTCTTCCACTAGAAGAACAGTAACTTCGAGGAGAGACTAGATGTTTCGTATAGTAGGCCAAAGTTTATAAATGTGTCAAAGAAGAATTTTACAAGAAGCTAATTAATGTAGAGAAGAATAATCCTGCCGTTGTAAAAAATTAGAGTGTATGTCCTATTGTAGAGTAGAGCGTTTTTCTGGCTACTCTATTAAGTTCTTTCTCTGTTACCCCATTCGTTACACTTGCACCGTAAGATTTCTCTTGGAAAAAAGTGGTAATTCTCACTGCTAGGGCCTCCTGCTATAAAGGGTTCGTGATTATCTTTTACACGTTATCAAAGTCTTTGTTGAGAATAAATTCCACTCTCCGTGAGGATTTTTATCGGCCTAAAACTCCATGCGGGAGCCTTTCAAACAGTTATTCGCTCTGTTGTGGGAATCAAACCATTGATTGTTAATTTTGTACTTTATCCTCGTTTCGTTGGTGTTATCTTCGTATCGTTTAGATGTGGTTTGTGAATCTTCCGGTTTTAGTCCTGCACTCGTTTTCAGCGTGTCCCCGCCTTTTGCAGAAGTTACCTTCTGCTTCTGGATTCCTTCGTTGTGGGTTGTGGGGTTCTCTCTGCATCTTGCAATGTCTCTGTTGGCTCCACAGCCTTGTTTTTATTGGCGCATGTACCGAAGTTCTGTATCGTACATACTTGGTTCAAGGTGTCCAGTTGTTGGCTGAACAGGTACCGAGGTATTTCAGGTCCCACGTTGCGCCTGAAGGCTTGGATACCTTCTTCGTTACATATAATATCCTTCAGAATTCACGACCGTCAGTAACTCGTCTTGTACGAGTGAGAATCGATGAATGAAATCAGCGATTTGCAGGAATCTTGGTCTTCAGAGATGCCGTTGTCGATTGTTCTCCCGTAGAGAAACCGAACGTTTTCTATTAATTTCGGTATTGTTGTTACAGTGTCCGGTCTAATTGTGTCATTGTTGCCCGTTCTTTTAATTTTTGTGGAAGCAGAGAATGTTGGCTTGGACCAAGCATAGCCGATACCGTAATTAACGCAGCGATAAAAATTCCAACACCAAGTGTCGGTTCCGTCAAAATTTCGGATCAGCGGCAAACATTGTCCTTATCTCTCGATAGTACCGAATTTAGGGCTGCACATTCAACGTTTGCGCCGTCGATCTATCTTCTCAATCGGTCACACTCGAGGTAATTTTTCGGCCAGCATATTCATATAGATTCGA